CTGATCTTATTCAGTTCTAATCATTGAATATATTAGCTGTGGTTTTTTATATATGGACTTTATTGTGTTAAGGTAATCTCCTATTCCTAGTTTGTTGAGTGTTTTTGTTGTTGTTGTTGTTGTTGTTGTTTTTTAATCACAAAAGGGCCAATTTGGTTGCCTTTCATCTTTTTCTTTTCTAATTGCTCTGGCTAGAATTTCCAGGGCAATGTTAAATAGCAGGCATCTTTGTCTTATTCCTGGTTTTAAGGAGAAATCTTTCAGTATTTCACCATTGAATACAATGTTAGCTGTTGATTTTTTTTTTTAAGATTTTTATTGGGGAATTGGGGGGATGGGAACAGTGCTGGGGAATTGGGGGAAGGGCAACAGACAAGTTGCTGTCATTTTGTTCTTCAGTCTAGTTGTGGAGGATGTTGCTTCACTGGCCCAAGTTGGCACCATCATTGCGCTCTTCCCGGGGGAGGCAGATCAGTCGCCGTCTTCTGGACGACCGCTCACTGCGGCTGCTGGCCGCTCACGCTGGCTGCTGGCTACATACAGTAGCCCATGGCAACCCACTGCAGCAGGGGCTGCAGCCTATGCCCGCCGCCAGCGATTCACGGCAGCCCAGCTCCAGGTTGAGCTGTTGTTCAGCATCTTAGCTGTGGAGGGCAGTGTCACTGGCCCTCATATGTGGGATCCCAACCGGGGTCCTCTGGCGTCCCAAGCCAGTTCTTAACCATCACGCCACTCGGCCGGCCCTGATTTTTTATAAATACACTTTAATCATGTTAATGAGGTTCCCTTCCTTCCTAATTTGCTGAGTGTTTTTTGTTTTTTTTTTTACCATGAAAGACAGCACTTCCTCTGGGAGGGTGAGGGTGAGTAGCTTCTCTTGGTTCTGGAGCCGACAACCCCTCACATTTCCCACCCAACCCTAACACAGGGTTGGTTCAATGGAACCTGACCTATTAAAGCTTTGGCTCTAAAGTGATCTAGGGGTGGTCACTGACTGAGCTTTCAGGAGTTACAGTGAGAAGCCAGAAATGAGCCACCCCAGCTTGCCCAGCTAAACTCTGAAGTCCAGCTAGCACTACCTCTTTCTTTTCTTTTCTATATCCATGCCTTTTCTCATGCTGTTCTGCAATCCAAGGCCTCCTCATCCTTAAAAGCCCTTATTTAACAAGTCTCCTTCCATTGCGCCACACCCCCACCTAGTGCAGGGGAGCTCTCCCCTCCCCTTCCATTTCCCCATGGCCCGTGATTTGTACCACCCTTGGAGAAATTACCTCATTCTGTAGAGTATCATGATTCAGGAAATACATGGCATGCCAAAAGCTCCAATGGACCCCTACCCCTCCGCTTTCATTCCCAGCCCCTCACAGACCTGCTTCAAGTATGGGCCAACCACATAAATATTTTTAAAGCATATCTATATAGTAAGCTCTTCTGTACCTGTTCTAGGTCTTGGGGATCTTGGTAAGATTGACAAGATCCTTGTTCTAGGGCCTCACAATCTTATGAGGGAAGAGAGAGAGATGATAAACAGATAAAGAAAAATATCAGATAGCATTAAGTTCTCTGCAGATAGAGAAGATAGGGTGGTGTAATGTTGACTGGGTTGGTGGTCATCAGGGCTTCTGTAAGGATGCAAATGGAGCTGATGGAATTGAATGGAATTATTCTCTGTAGGATTTTTTTTAAAGCAGCTATTTCTATGATATCTGCCTATTGACACGGCAAATGTACCTGGTCATTTATCAGGTCCTGTGCTGCTTTCCTAGGAGTTGATCAACAGCATCTTTACCTCCTCCCAAGGGCCAGCCCTGAAAGTGATCCCCTCAAGACCATGAAATCTTGGAGCAGAGCTACAGACCACTTCTCCATTCTCCAGGGAAGTCATCTGGGGGTTCCCACTACACCCCATGCTGCCTCTGAGCACTGGTCCTTCTACGTAGAATTCTCATTCCCTGAGACTTCACATGCTTCTCTTTAGCAGTCTTCACATTTCAGCCACAGGTCACCTCACTGGGGTAGTCTACCCAATGCCCCCCTCTCCCAAAAGCCTCTCTCCCATACAGATTTGTTTTATGTTCTTTTCATGACTCATTAGAATTTGAAATAATTTTGTACTGTCTCCCTTGCTTAGAAGGTAAATTACTGTAGGGCAGAGGCCTGTTTTCTCTTGTTCAGTGCTGTGTCCCCAAGGCCTAGATCAGCATCTGAACTACAGTTCAGGGGCAATAAATGTCTACTGAATGAACATCTATATGGGACAGGTTTTTATTAGCTACACTTCACAGACCAGGATTCTCCAAGCTCAACTTTGGGCACAGTTCTTCATTCACTTCAGTGTGTGGTTATGAGTGGGCTCTGGACCTAGATGTCCTATACTCATACCCCACTCCCTTCTTACCTCCCAGCTTCAGTTTTTCCATCTTTGAAGTGGGATGGTAATTGTATACACCTCATAATGTCTACGTGAGGATTAAATGTGTTAATACTTGTAAAATGTTTACAGTTGTGCTTGGCATGTCTTAATACTACTCCCCAGCATCCAGCACAGTGCCTGGTACAAGGTAGGTACCCAGTAAATAATAGCTAAACGGGAAGTTCTATGGTGCAGCAATTTTGCTAGGCCTTCATCAATCATTTGGGTGGATTTTTTTTAAAAGGCCTTGCAGAGATGATTTAGTATGAGAGAAGAGGTACAAGCAGAAATTTAGAAAACATCCCAAGAATAGGATGGCTGTTGAAGAAAGATATAAAATTATCTGTCACCTTGGAACCTGGTTCAGAGTGATCATGGCTTTGGCATTCAGAAGTGGGGGTGGGCTGAAAGCGTGGTTGGCGGAGGCAGGACTGAGTTGGCTTTCATGGAATGAGGAAGAGGTGAAACAGGTAAAAGGAAGAGGGTGTTTTGCCAGGTGTGATTCACAGTGAATGAGAAGGTCTAGTTCTAGCTTCTGATGGATTAACAAATTGCTGGCAAGTCTTGTCTAATCCCAGCAGAAAGATCCAAGATTTTGTAACCTCGCTTGAAGGCAGAGCCGTTGATAGGCAGGTATGTCTGTAAATAACACTAGGGATGCCTCCTGAATAGAACCCATTTTCATACAGGTTACATGAGGGTACCATGATCCCCAAAGGTGGTTGTGAGGGCAGAGCATCATCCAAGTTGTGAGGGGAGTTCCTGGAGGGCAAGGGAATAGTGATGTCACAGAATCGTAACGGCATCTTGGGAGGAGAGAACGGGAAGGGCTTGCATTAGCAGGAGAGCCAGGCCTGGCTCTGGTTGCTTCAACCGCAGTGACAGAGGAGGAAGGTAAGTGTGGGTGTCTTCGATGGTTGTGTACTGGATCTTTACAGGGAGATAAACAACAAGACTCCTCTCTCAAGTCTATACCCAGCTTCATCGGTCTCCTTCTCCTCCCTCTGTCATCTTCAGGGCTCTCACTGGTACTTGCTTCAACTGTGAGACTATATCTGCTTAATGTGTCACATAGGTAGTCCAAGCTAAGAGGTCAAATAGGGGAAATGCAAGGCCTAAAGCAGGGAGGGGTCAGATACGGATCTGACCTCAGGATGTGCTGAGAGAAATTCACCAGCTTTTGAGGCATCCTTTGTCCTTTAAACACATAAGATGAAGTCCTCTTGCTTGAGGGAGCAGAGAGCCTCCAGAGGTTTTGAGCGCGCTGCTCTCTAACCCTTGAGTCTGCCATTTCCAGATGTTACCAAAATGACGTTAGACGGGCAGAGCCCTTTCCTTACTTCCAGAGGGATAACTAAATGGAAAATCCACATGTGTATGTGTGTGACACAGTGACATCATTTCATTCAGGTGCAGGTGGCTGATATAAGTGAGCCTTTCTGGCAAGTCTCTTCAGACAAGGGAGAAGGGGATCAAGGTAAAATTTCGAGTCTCGGAAGCCAAAGGGCTAAGTGAGGATGGAGAGTTTGAGAACATGCGAACGCTCCTTTTCACATGCAGCGCCTTCTGCAGATCTGATCTCCCATTGATAGTTTGGGAACACACTTGTTATTTTTATAACCTCATTTCCTCCAAAAATAACTACAGTATGTCTGATGGGGCTGGGAGGGGCCTAGAAGAAAAGGAGGGTGGGTGGGGAGGAGAAAGGATTTTTTTTTTGAATCCACTTGATTTTATGAGGAAAACAAAACGTTAAAAAAATCCGCTTTCAAAATTTTTTCTTCATCTCGCCAATGTGCAGAGGAGGAGGACGAAGGGGAGGAGGAGGACGACCTGGGGCTGCAGTGGAGAGAGCGGACACAATAAACTCTTCTCGTTAAGTGGAGCCCACATGGCAGTAATTACAAACTTGGGCGGGGGGGAGAGTCTGCGCCCTTAACCTCCCCTTAAGTGTCAGTGATCAAGAAAGCCTTTCTTGTTCCTGCTCCTTGTTCAGGGACTTCTGAAGCCAGTTTCGGTCAACAGGAACCGGGACAGGAGGTGAGGGAGACCCAGAGTGACCCGGCGCGCTTCGATGTCAGGGGTGCTCGAGGGCTGCGCAAACCTCTGCAGGAGGCGACAGTGGTCGTAGTACTAATCATCGGTAGTAGCATCCGCGATGGCCGTGCCCCGCTGCTGAGTCCCACATCTCCGCGCCAGGCATTCGGATCACCTCCTTCAACCCTAACGAGCGGTCGAGGTTACCCCCCAAGCGAGGAATGAGGAGGAAGCGAGGCGCAGCAGAAGCACTCAGCGACCAGCGTGCCTCTCCGGGGGCTGGAGGGGCGAAACCCTCCCCGTCGGACCCGGCCCGGGGCCCGTTCCCAGGGGGATTCCGGCCTGGGACTTCCGCGCCGCCGTCACTCACGAAACGGTCGTCTGTCAGCAGAGACGCCGACGTGCTGGGAGCAAGCCCAGTCCCACCTGGCGCCGCGGGCGGCGCGGCCCCCGCCGGCGCTCGGCGGAACGTTCCTGTCGGCGGCGCGTGTTTCCCGGCCGGGCGGCCGGGGCGGCGGGCCTGAGGGGGACGCTTTCTGGCGCGGACCGCGAGCGGAGGCTGCGAGCGCCGCCGCCAGAGAAGACCGACGCTCGGCCGGAGCTCGTCTGTGGCGCCCGGGCCTGCCGGCCGCTTCCCGCCTCGGCCTCCACCGCCGCCGCCGCCGAGGAACGCACGGCCCCTCGGCCCTGCCTGGCCCGCCGCGGCCCGGAGCCGCCGCGCCGGAGGTGAGTGCCGGTGCCCGGCCGCCGGCTCCCGGCTCTGGGCCGCCGGGACCTGCAACAATGGGGGCCCAGTGGGGATCCGGCCCGGGTCCCGGCGCTCGGCGGCTTGGGACAGCGAGCCGGTCCCGGCGGCCCGGGCCTGGGGGCGCTGGACCGGATCTGGGCCACTCCAATGGTCGGAGGCTTGGAGGGGGGTCTGAGCGTCGAGCCGGGGCCTCGGCGGCTTGATAGTTAGGATTTTTGTCGCCGGGGAAGGGAGTCCTAGGGGCACGGAGAAGGAACTCGAGTGGCTTTCGCTCTCAGTGCTCGATGCAGACGCCCTGGAGGCTGACCACGGCGGGGGGTGGGGGCGGGGGGGGGCTCGCGTTTGCAATGCCAGGGGCCTCGGTGCGCCTGGTCCCCAAGGCGCGGCGCGGCGCGTCTTCCTCCCCCGAGGTCTGTGAACTTGGCCGACTGGGGTCCGGCTGGGGAGACGAGGCTTTGGAGAGTTGAGCTGCTCCAAGGGTGGCCGGCGCTGAGTTCCTGGAAAGGCAGGAGGAGCTCCGTGGGGCAGAGGAGAGTTGAGCGAAGAGCTGCCTTCGCCCGGGCCCAGAGGCGTCCTGGCGTGGAAGGGTGCTCAGCCGGGGCACTTGTCCCAGGAGCGTCACGGTGAGGAGCGCTGGCCACCTCGGCGTTAGGGGGGGAGACTGGAGTTGTGCTTTGGGGCGCGCAGGGGAGGGTTGGCAGGCTGCTGAGGTTGGAGCATTGGCTGTATGTGGGCCAGGGTGGTGGCAGCCTGGGAGTTGAAGAGGGAACTTTGCAGAGTGGGCTTCCTGACAGAGAGTGACCTCTTCCTGCGGGGGAGTGGGTGACTCAGATCTGTTAGAATTCCGGGGCTCGCTGGTGGATGTGGCTGCCTGTGTTGTTGGTGGCTGGGCAGTGCGGGGGAGGGGGGCTGGGAGGGGCGTTTGGGGGCTGAATGAGTTTGTTCCTGAGTAGAAGACAGTGTGGACCATTCCTTACTCCGATTCAGAATGGGAGCCATCATTAACAATACTTTAAGTAAAGCACGTCTTTGTGGCATGTGGAGTCAAAGCTTTCCTCTGTTCATTTTTTCCTCCTTTGTTTTTGAATTGTGACTCATACTGTCCTTTCAGCACTGTGGCTATTGTTCGTACTGATAGACAAATTTAGATGCCACAATGGACTGTAAATTCCAGGGGTTTTCAGTCCATTTCTTATAAGTTTAAGAGCCGGTTCTCAATCATTTCTGTGCTGCTGTTTAATGTACGCAACTCTAGAAGGATGTGAAAACTCTTAACAGTTTATGTTGTTTAAAGTTCTTTGTATCCTCAAATCCATGAACCTTCATTTTCTCCTACTGCCATGAAGTCATTACGTTGAATCTGTTAAACCTTAAAGGCTGTCAGCTCTCACAGAACATTATCTTCACTAGAAGTGTTATCTGTCTTCAATGAATTTAGCCTGTACACTGTCTCATCTGTATCATTGAAAGGTAATGTGCAAACTCCAAATCTGAGGCCTGCAACTGTGCACCAGAGCTCTGTATGTTGTATTTGGGCAGAAGTTGGTGTGTTGTCTATGAATGAGATCCCAAACCCTATACAGAAAAAAAAAAAAGGGTCAGAATCATTGCACCGTGTGAGTTTAATTAGAGTGTGAGGAAGTACCGCCTAGATGGAATCTAGTATAAATTTTCAGGTGAGATGTGAGGTAATTCTATTTGTAGTTGTACTGTTAGTTCTGAGGTGTTTTTTTCCCCTAATCTTTAAAAAATCATGTATTTTCCTTAAATTATATTCTTTCTCTCTGCCTCTCTCTTTTAAAATTTCTATTTTAAGTATTGTAATTTACTTTTTTCATAAACCAATATGTATTGAATTATGCCAGGCACTGGGTTGGACACCTCCACAATGATGATATTTTTGGGCATTTTAATAGCACTAGTTCTCAGTTCAGAAATGGCTGTAGGTCTGTGAAGGAAGAAGCAATTCAGGTATATCAAGCTTCTAATCAGTAAAGCCATTGAATAGGATTTTTATAAAGTATTGATTTTGACTAGTGACGATTGATTATCTTCACATATTTCCATGGAAAAAGTTTAGCTGCTATAATGTGTTCACATTGCTTTGGGATTGTTTTAACATTTTATTTAAATACACCTGTTAACTTGAAGTACTCCTGTAGACAGATCACAAGTTCAACATTTTGTTTCTGTGTGTGTCTGGATGAGCAGTGATTTGCAGATACTGTGTATGTGCTCAGGTTCCCCAGGAAGCTGTCACACTTTCCTGCCCAGTGTGGTTTTGGGAGCATGAAGGCTTTGCTCACCCCCTTTGTTTGGTGCACTATATGTAGGCTGGAAGTGTCTGCTGATCACTTGGAGTGTTGTCCCCTAGAACTGGAGGAATAATATTGAGGTAAGGCTCAGTCTATTTGAAATTGCTTGCCTCTTAATTTTTACTGAATAAAATATAATGTAAATTATATTTGTGTGATTTTTAAAAAAAATTTTATTGGAGAACAGCCATGGTCATTGGTTACACATTGCTTTCAAGCTACAATGGCATAGTTGACTCTTAGGGGCCCATGCGGGGATCGAACTGGCAACCTTGGTGTTATCAGCACTACGCTCTAACCAACTGAGCTAAATAGTCACCCCCTGAATGTTTTTTCCTTTGATTGTTAGTCTCTACTCTGATCTAGTAAAATGAAATTCTGTCCTTTGCTCTCTCTGTGTGTATATATTTGGCCAAAAACAAATGAAGAAATTGAAAATCAAGACACTTAGGTAATAAATAAATTCTTTGAACTATAACTAAGAAAATAAAAACTGGTTTATTTTTTGCTTGGAAGGCACAGTGATTGCTGAAAGAAATGTTTTTGACTACTTTTAATCAAATAGATCAACTTCAGAAACTCCTGGAAAGAAGGCTTTGAGTTTTCGATTTCATTAGAAACTTCCAAAGTGCCTAGTACTATGGGGAGAGCATGGTCTTTGGAGTCATCCCATCTCTCACTCTTGCTTGCTTTTTGACCTGAGGAAGCTGGTAACCTCTCTGAACCTTGTTTTTTTATTTTATTGAATTTTTTTCAGTCTGTAAAATGGGGCTAATATAACCTCTGCAGGTTGTAGTAAGGACTGGAGATGAGGGCCTAGGGCTTCGTGGGCGGTCAGGGCTTGCTGCTAGTGGTAGCGATGGGGCCCTATTCCCAGTAGTATTATTAGGAGTGTAGCTGGGCGCAATGCATGGATGAGGGGCTCAGTTTCCTTGTGTGGGGAGGAAGGCAGCCCACTGTCACCTGTTGGCACCCTGGACAAATGAGAGCATTGTCAAGGTTGTCTTTATCCACTGTAAGTGGACAGGAGTCCACACTATAAATTCCAAGGTCATTCCTGGCACTAGTAGGTTTTTTCCTGGCAGTTTCTATGGAGAAGCCAGGATGTAACTTTTTGGCATGTCCTTGTTTTGGGAACAGTGGGCCTTCCCATTGACAGAGTGCTAGAGTATGCCAAGCAGCATTGTGCTCTGTGTGGCCCCTGTTCAGGTTGTTTCTCTAGCTTTCTTCGGTTGGCACCAGAGACTTGACTTGGGTCTTTTTGCCTGAAAGGCTCCAGATGCTGGAAAGTCTCCAGATGTCGTCTTTCTCTAATTTGAGCTACTTTGATAGAATCTAGCACTCTGTTCAGAAATATTTTTGATGAACAGAAGGTTCACAGGTTTTGTTATAGACTTGTTCAGTTTTATTTTTTCCCTGTGAGAAGGGGGAAAAAAGGTCAAGAGAAAAATAAGTATGAGCCAGACAGAAGTGATTCAAAATAGCTGGCCCTAAGTCTCTTCCAGTCTTCCTCAGCGAAATCCCCTCTCCATTCCAGGTGGCCTTTAACTCCAGTTAAAAGTAAATAACATTCCTCTGGCCTCAAAATACTGCCAACACCTATTGGGTCGTTGGGAAAGTCCTCATGTATTTTTCTGTTTTTCAATGCTAAAATGCGCCATGACTTTCCCGACCACCCAGTAGATCCTGGTGTCGTCTCCACTTCAGCGTCTCACAAGGACCCTTATGACTCGGCCTGGTCAGTGTCTTCCTTTCTTGCCATCCCCTCCTCTGCCACAGACCTCTGGCACTTAAGGTCCCACAGTGAGCTCCTGGAAGGTCCCAGCTTGTGCGGGCTCCTCCGGCTGAGTGTCCTCCCCATTCGAGTGCTTGTCAGACTCCTAGGCTTGAATTGACCAGGAATTCAGGCACCACCATCTCTGAAAAACCTTCCTTGGTTCTTTCCAGATTAGGGTAAATGCTTCTCCTTTGTATGGCCACTGCAGTCTGAGCCAGCTTTTTCATGATCACACTGTATTCTTAACTTTTGGTGGTTTTGTGTGTTTTCCATGCCTAGGTTGTGACTTACTTGAGGGCAGGACCTTGTCTTATTTATCTTTATATCCCAGTACCTAACCATTTCAGACACAGAGCAGCTGCTCAGTAAATGTTTGCTGAGTGAACAAATGAATGACCTTTGTATATGAGATGACAAGAAATCATGCTTTGTGGAGCTGGTGGTTTGATGAGAGTTCTGACTTCATGGCTGCATCTGATCTTTGTGTTTCCAAAAGCACAAAGTGGCTCTGCCTTTGTATTTCTAGGTTGCTAAAAGCCCTACGTAATGTTGCTGTGAAAGTGTGTTGTTCATTCCATGCATTCATGGTTTTGAGGCTATTATTACTTGCTCTGGTGGGTCTTGCAAAAGTTGCCCTTGGAAGAAAATATAACAGTTCTTCATTGGTATTATATAGATCTTCCATTACTACTCTGAGCACTTCATGCTCATGTGTGAAGAAGAATGACTAGTCAGTTTGGGCCACGAGGTCTCCAGACAACCCCTGGCCAGCCTGGGAGTGGGTAATGGATTTAACACTAGAATGTGACTTGCGTTGACTGATGGATCTTTTGGAGACCCAGCTGAGCTCAATGTCACCATATTCAGGATACTATAAGATGATTTG